AGGGTGGCACAGGGTCGAGTGGGAGAGAAGAAGAGTAGGGATGGTCACGACGATGACATTCAACGAGGCTAGCTAGTTCCTCTGTCCTCCTCGCAATTAACGTGTTCTCGCTTTTGTAAATATTACTACGCTCGCTGGAATCGCCTTTAGATATCGTTCAGTTCTTCATTTTGCCCCGTTCGAAAGCAACGATTATAGAAAGGGAGCAACTAAGAGGGTTTCGACCGGATAATCGGCTCATTGGAATAGTTATTGATAGCGTTCATTCGTATGGATTCTCGACAGATTTTATTTGGTTCAGAAATTTTTTTTAAATCCAAGTGCTCACCCTTGTAACGTCTGATGCGTTGGACTCGTTTTAAGTGACACATTTACGAATATACAGGGTGGGTGAAATAAAACAGACCGCCCTTTTTATTCATTCTTTCAAACTGTTTAAATTACGTGTAAAAATTGTCTCGTACTATTCCATTCATGCAATTACCCTATACTGTTCAAAAACTCGGTAAATCCTTCTACACACCAATATTTTCAACTATTAGGTTGGCCAGAAAGTTCGTGCGGTTTCTGGCGATTCCTCAATTCCTCAATTCAGGCGGAAGTTGGAAGATGGAAAACCAAAAGGAGCATTTCCGGCACATTATACTGTTTTATTTTGTAGGTAACACTTAACCTCAGATTATATCTACAGACTTTGTTAATCCAGTTGAATTGGTAAGTTTGGCGGAAGTTGGAAGATGGAAAACCAAAAGGAGCATTTCCGGCACATTATACTGTTTTATTTTGAAAAAGGCAAAAACGCGTCGGAAGCATCTAAGAAGATCTGTGAGGTGAACGGGGAGAATGTCATCGAAGAATGCGTATGCCAAAAGTGGTTTGCGAGATTTCGTTTCGAGGATTTTTCACTTCACGATTCACCACGCTCTGGTCAACCACAAGAGATTGACAACGAACAAATAAAATATAATCCTCGGTACATAACACGGGATGTGGCAAAGGAGCTCCAAGTATCGAGAACAACCGTAGAAAATCGTTTGCATCAACTTGGTTACGTTAGCCGACTTGAAAAACCGCACGAACTTTCTGGCCAACCCAATATGAAGAAGCAAAATTTCATACACACATATCGAACACGTTAAATTGTCTCTACAACACCTATCTAATAACAGTTTCCATCAAAAATCATATACACACCTAACGAACGAAAGAAATTACTCTGATCCTCCACTCTATCTAAATATCTACCGTCCATGAAATCATTTTACAAGCGACACCTACTCGAACGCCACACTTCATTCTACCCCCAACTTTGCTCTCCGTATTCGAAGATTTTTCACGCTCGAAGGGTTGATCATCCATCGCGACCAAACCGCAACGTCCCGCGGTGATTAATGCAAACGATGATAATTACGCAACAGCTTGTTGATCCGGCGCAAGCACACCGGTGTCTCTTTAAAATTTCATCACGGTCCGTGAAACTCGTTGGAGCAACAGCCCCCCTTCAGAGTTGGTACGCCGCGAGAGAGAGAGAGGAGAGAAAGAGAGTTAACCCCATCCGGAGGCAGGGCACGCGAGAGAAAGCCCGCTGGTGCTCATCCCCCGACTCGTCCACGTCAGGCTTGTTCTCCGGATAAGCCCCTTTCGTCGCCTTTTTTGTCCTGTTTTTTTGTTATCGACCGGCCACGACCAAAAGCCCAATTAGAATCGTCCTATTGTTTGGCCACGTGGTCCACACGAGCCGCTATACTGCACGAGCACGCACGCGAACACGTACGTGTGAATTCTGTGAAACGTGTGCGAGTGACGGTGTGTGACATTCACGTATACCTACTATCTGGTCTCGTTTCACGTCGCATGCGCGCCCAGGTAAGGTATACATGTATGTATATAAACGTGGCCGATCGTAGACGATCGACACGCACGGCGAAGCAGAACACTCTCTCGAACCCTCGAACGATCTGCTCTTTATCCTGGCTTTTTAGTGGCTTTCGTTGCTGATCGAAATTGGCATCTGTCTCGTGATCCTCGAGGAGGGAGACACTCGATTGGAATAAGTGGGTGAAGTGTCGGGTCTCGAGGGTTTCTTATGGTTTTTCTTCTAATCGAGATCCTTCGGGGCTGGGCGGACTTGTAA